AGCGGAAAAAAGTCTCATCGTTCCTACTTTCAAATAATTTTAGCAAAGTGTCTAAACCACATATCGCTTTTAACAAATATGCCAAATTTCAAAATGCGGCAATATATAAATTCAAGTATATCTTTGGAAATTTTGAATAAAAAGCTGTAATTTTTCGCAGATATTCTTAAAAATACGTCTACTTTAAGATGATGGTAAAAATTTTATAGATTATAATTTGAAATTTTTGTTTGAAAAATTCCTAAAAATTATTTTAAAATACAAATTTAAAAAATAAATCATAAAAGATGGGTGAATTTTATTTGGAGTGGGCCTGAATTTCGAAATGTGAAAGGAAGAATTAAATAAGTTTAATAAAAAGAGAGAGATTAATAAATATATACCACACTCTATTAATATTGAGGAGCTAAAATTTTGAGAGCTAATTTTTTAAAAACTACTCGTGCAATTTTTACAAAACTTGGTAGTTTGGCTTAATTCGAGTCGTAGAATTGAAATACGGATAAAAATTGGTATGTTATATCAGAAAAAGTCCGATTTTGTAGCAAAATACTTATAATAGAACAACGCTATATATAAATCTAATACACATCCTAAGTTGCACTTTCGAGACATGAAAAACACGCGTTGAATTTGGTCATTCGGCCCAGTAGAACGGGAAATATAGAACTGTCCCTTTTCTTTTCTTTTCTTTTTTTTTTTTTTTTTTTTTTTTTTTGTGTGTGTGTGTGTGTGTGTGTGTGCAGTGTACAAATAGAATAGCTCCTCACAAGTTGCCTTTAATCAATTTAAAAGTTGGTTGTATTTATGGGAAGAAGAGTCTAGCAAATGATCTTCCTAATGAAAACCGTGGTTCCCAAATGTGTGATAGAAATCAAAATAGAAAACTGTTATGCAAGAAAGTTCAAAGCAGATGTTAGGAAATTCAACAGAATTTTGATAATCTGCACCAAGGGTTGCATGGATAAGTGAATTTTGCTGATGATAACCTGTCTGAGTTTTATTTGCATGTTTCTCTTTCTAATTTTTATAAATCTGAACCCTCTGTACATAAATAATTTGCAACAAAATATTGCTAAAGAATTGTTAAAGACAGTGGGAAATTAACCAGGAAATTCCTGTAAGGGCAGGAGGGAGTTCAGGTGCTTTGACTCCAGATAGCCAACCATTTCACTTGACATTTTTATATTCAGCATGGAAAAGATATGAACTCCAAAAAGAATGATTCTGAGGTGCAACCTGTTAGTCAAGAAAACATATCTGACTAAAAAATTGATAATTTTCACCCTGTTCTTATTTAATTACATCTGTTAAGAAAGTGTATGCACATCATTTAGGTAGGAAAGAGATATTAGTACTTAGCTTGTTTCAGTGGCCGCATTTCACATTTGGCCAGAGAATATTTGTCACTTGGCACAAATTTTGAAACTTCAGAAGACCTTTTTCCCTGTGTTTTAACTACTGATATGGGACTATTACTGTGTTGTAACGTTAAGTATTATTTCAAATTTTCAGCTAAGTACACGGTGCGACAATGAATTGGGTGATTTAAAAAATGTTATCTAGATTGATTTATTAGCTTTATTTACTTAAAACACACAAAAACACACAGTAAATATTATATCATTTAGTTTTCAAACTGAAATAAAATCGCGTTTTCAACTGAAAAAAGTCTTTTACATGCCCACTATCCCTACGTATGCACTCGGAGAGTCTTATGCTAACATTGCTCATTACTTATTGCAGCATTTCCACAGGAATTTTCCAAATATACCAAATTTTCCTCGTTAATGTATTCTGATAAATGGAAATGGACTTCATCCCTCATCAGTAAACTGTTAACAAGTTTCTGGTTTTCATTAATCAACTGCAGTAGCGTTCGGCAAAACTGAAGTCTGTTTCTATAGTCCTGCTTCTATAGTGCTTCAACAATCTGAATCTTGCAGGCATGGAAATGAAGTTATGCAAAGTCTGTCGAATGCTGCAGTCTGAAAACCCAAGTGCTAGAGAATGACGATGAGCAGAACAGCGTAGTTTCCATTTAATGGCCTCTCACTGCCACTACGTTCTCAGGCATACTTACTGTTTTTTCACTACAATCTCTCTTATTTACAGTCAAAACCAGAGGCCTCAAAGTTTCGTACGCAGTTCTTGATGACATGTGCTGATGGTAGAGCATTGTTACAACGAATCTTGAATTCAAAATTCATGCTGAGCGATTCTGTAACTGTTGCTATTTTTACATGCCTTAAACCAAGCCTTTGTTTAAAACCATGCCTTTCTTGGGTTAGGAGTCCCACTACAGGCAAAAGAAATAAGAAAAACAGCACACAGATAATTTATTTTGTTCGGAAAACATGGCTGGACAAAATGGTGTTTACCAATAAATGTTATTAAACCAAAGGTGAGCCCAATGAAAGGGGAAAAACACAGACTGTAACTTATTTAACTTTAGCAATTGTACAAAAATATGATGTGTACACCACATAAATTTCTTGTACGAAATATTAAATTATACACAATTATCCTGCATTTCATTTAATGAATTAATAGTTAACGAATTTTGAATCAAATAGTAGATAGCGTTGTAGATAGTAGATAGCTTTGTAGATAGTGCATAACCCACAATAGAATAAATGCACTCTTTAAAGTTCACTATATTTATTTATAAGTATTTAAAGTTCTTAATTTATATAGCGACACTTCGGCACTAGGTTCACTTAACAGTATTACATCTCATTCATTTTATAACTCAGAGAGAGAGCAAAAATTATATCATCTGAAGAAAACGATATATATAAGAAATTAAGCAAATAAAATAGAAACAGTTTTTCGCAGACGATTCAGCGTCGCTTACCTAATGCGCATGCACTACTAATTCAGTTCTCACTTTGTGGCAAGGCAAAAGTACATAAAAGTTCAAAATATTTTCAGTAAAATTTGAAAGGTATAGAAAAACATTAAACACCAAGTACAGTTAAAACAATCAAAAAACTATTTTTACAATTAAAATTACAGTTTCAATGCAAAAACAAGCTAATAACTTAAATCATAATTCTAGAATGAATAAAGCGCAATTTAATTTGCAATGATAAAAGAAGACATTACTTTTTTGTGGCGAAGCATAGTTTCTCTAGATTGGCAACAAATCTAGTATTCTCGCTAAGTTTCAAATGTAAACAACATGGTGGCCATGGTAACTTAGCCACACTTAAAAAACTTTTAAATGGTTGATAATTCCACAATTAGTGCATGCAAGTTAACTAAAGGCGTAAAAATCTTAATCAGAACAACATAACTCAATTACTTTTAAACCAAAAAATGCACAATTTAGAAAGATATAAGAATAAAGGAACCGAGATCACTGAGCCGAGTAACAGAGTGGATATATATATAGCTCCTGGTAACTTTTTAGCAAGCTCGCTGCAATATTTCTACCTATTATTTCTTTTTTTTTTTTTTTTTTTTCCAGCATTTTGCGCAAAAAAAAATTTTAAGACCAAATACGTCTTACGTCTCATTACTTGTTAGCTTTTCAATTTCTGTTTCGATTATATATACATATATTACATATGTAAGATATAAAAAAAATGATAGCTGTTTCAACAAAATAATTGGCAAAATTAACATTCAAATTGGCGATCTGCCCCTAAATTCCTCTCTTCTCACAGGTTCCAGAATTTTCTATCTTACATAACGTTTTAATGCAGATGCCTCTTGTCCAATCAAATTAATTGTAAACCAAAACTCTGAACTGAAACTTCCCCGACTCCCACCCTTCTTCCTCTGAAGTTCTATGATACTTCCGCCCTTTTTCCGCATAGCTCTCCTGCTGGCAATACACTTTTAAACCATGCTGCTGCTGCTGCTGCTTACTTACTTAAGATGACGTTCTAATTCAAAATGCAATTTAGGTATTCAAATATAATTAGGAAACATCTTGTCTGAAAAAGGATGATTTGATATGCGTGGCAAAAATAAAGATTGTGATTTTTCAAGATACGTTTTTTCAAGATTCCACTGTTTTCATCTACACATTTGGAATCATTACATATATACATATATTTATATACTTCTTGTGCGGCCGATTGCAACCAAAATAAGAGGTGCACGCCTAGTGGTCAAAATGCATATTTTCGTTGAAATATGATGCCTGAAATTTTTCGAGACTACAATACTTCCTTTTTACTTTGCACAAGGAAGTAAAAATGCAAATAGGTCATAATTTTTTAAATCGAATTCACAAAGGGGAATTAAAGAATGGACACAGAATCAAGATATAGAAGAAATAATAAATAAAATGTATCTTACAGAGAACAAAGGGATAAACAATGACATTCAAAGTTATAATGAAGTTAGCTTCATAAAAATATATTATTTCAAGGAAATGTGTGGTCTTCAAAATAATCAGATTAATTTGAATATCCACAGATTACCGTAGATTTGAACTGAAGAATATTCATAACACATCTACAATTCATAGCCCAACTTTCATAATTGCGGAACACATAACTACACAAAAATTACAATCAGTATTTTGAAATACACTTACAATACATTACTTTTTTAAAAAATACAACTTTAACACATTTTTAAAATACATGCTACATGAAAACATATCTCAAAATTGATATATTAAAAATTTCACCCTTCACTGTTACAGATTATTATTTATAATCATTAGTTAACACAATACTAATATTGTACTAATAAATAATGTAATGAGATATAACAATTTATGAAAAAACATATTATACATGCAACATGTATAAATTAATAAACTAGAAAAATTTACAATATGCTTGTTAGAGAAAAACAATTAAAATTTGGGGACAAGTTTAAAGATTTCTTCTATTGCCTGAAAGCTTGTGCTCTGAAAACAGTTATACAAATAAGCTCAAATTTAAACATAAGCAAAGTGTTTCTGTTATAATGGTTTTTCAGTTATTAATGATTTCTTAATATTAAACATGGGGAAAAATGTAGAAAAAGTAACTTACCACGCACTCCAGAAGGGCAACAACATTCTTATGCTGTAGTTTTGTAAGTTCCTGCAAAATAAATATTATACGTGTTTTATAACAATACTCAAATATCCTATTGTAAAGTCAACAAACTTGCAGAATAGTAAATACAGCATCATTAGAATTAAGAATTTCAGAGGAACATTTTAATTTTTTATTATTTCCACACCAGAAGCTTGAAGCTACAAAATCACTGCTTCAAAAAAATGCATTTTTAAACATTTGGCACATACCTGATTTTGAGAAATGAGTTAAAACTTTTATACCCATCTAATAGATTATGTCACTCTCTCTCACTTTGAACATAGCATAAAGTATTGAAAAACAGCACAGGATATGGATATAAATGAAAACTGGGAACAAGAAAAGTTTATGAGTTTGACATGCAGCAGAGGCATAGATAAGGGGGAGCAAAGGGTAAACATCTGTCCCCTGGTGCAGCATCCAGGAGGTGGCCAAATTGATGTCAAGAAATTTTAGAGTGAAATGTTTTCCATTCTTGGCAAACAGGAGGGGAGCACGAAATCCTCAGTTGTCCCCGGGCGCTAAAAACCCTAACTATGGCTCTGACATGCAGCCAATGAAACTAAGCATGTTTGCTAGCAACATGTACATGTTCGTATGCCACATAGCACATATGGAAATTTAAAAAAAAAAAAAAAAAATTGAAGAAATATAATTTAAATACATGAGTGAAAAAAATGAAAAGGGGGCATAAAAATCATATCTCTAGCAACATAATCAATGCTTACACCAATAAATAGGTGGAAGGTCTTTCAAAATATTTTATCAATAGCTGGAATTTACACTGGCATTTGTCCCCCAAAAGGTAAAATGGATGTAACTTGTGTGTCCGTTCATAGGAGGCATCGGTGGTCCACCTATTAGGTACCTCCATAATAAACAGGCACTGCTTCTTTCCTTAATAGTCAATGCCTATAAACTCCTAGAGGGAGCGGAAGGAAACACTGGTGCATGTAAAACAAGCATTAGTAAAAATAATACAACAGATTTAAAAGTATATATCCAGTTGAATTTCTATTTCTTATTTATGCAATTTTATTATTTAATTTGGTCATTAATTGGTCATTTTAACCATTATGTACTAGATATAGTCATTAAACAGTAACATCTCTAACATCCTGCTGCTTACCAGGCAGCATAATGATAAACTAGACTTTGCAAAATGACACTTGCTGGGCTACATGAACAATAAATACTGTGCTAGCACAATGTAATACAGTATAAAGTCCGAAATCCGGACTAGTCGGAACTTCGGCGACTCCGGATTTTTCCGGATATTAGATCATCAGTTTAAATATAGTAAGATGGCATGTAGAAATTATAAAATTAAAAATATGAAATCGTGATGTATGAAATAATGAAGTATTTATGATTTAAAGGGGATCGAAATTCACAAAAAAGCTTAATATTTACTTGTTTACCTTATTAAACATTTCTTTCAATGTAAGTTGTTTAAGTTGCTTCGTTTTTTGTGCTAATACTTTCTCTTTAATTCTGTAGACAGACACAATCTATTGTTCAGTTACATTGTTGAAGTCCTGTAACTGCTGTTTTTAGAATTCCGACTAACTTGTCAATCGAAATTGTCTCGTTTTCTGTAACTTCTCTATCACTTTCTTCACTATCGGTAGCGGTATTTTTTGGATCTAGAACGATACTACAGATTTCGCCATTCATTAATTGATTGATGATTGAGAAGCAATGTCATCACAATGAGAAACTTCTTTTATATCAACTGCATTTTTTACCGCTTCTCCACATCTTTACAAAATTCATTAATTAGAAAATTTCACCTTTGTTTTGCGGTATCCGAAAACCTTTAAAATTAGCGGCTATCATCATCGAATTTAGCTATCCTTCACTATACATATTTGGCTATGCATCATGAGCTTGGCGACTAACGACAAATTGTTCCGTTAAATTTTATCTTGCTTCTATCATGCACTGAAATAATTAATTAAGCTTGAATTTTATTAGTTTAGTTATTTATTATACTTATGTCTATTTCTTGCACATGCTTAAAGCTTATCAAAGTTCTGAATAAACAAATTCTCACATACACTTAGCCTTATTGAGGGCCGGCGCTAGATATCTTACCGCCTGATGCAGTCTCTGTGGGTCCTAAATTCTGCGGCCATACGAGCCCTGGCAGTGGTTCTGGGGTTAAGTGAATAAGAAATCAGCTATTCTTCATTCAAATAGCCCTAAATGTAATATTTGGGTCTATGAGTACCATCAACAAAATCTATTTTCAGCATATGGAAAGACATTTTTGGTAAATTTTCCCTCGTCAACATAAAAGGTTGCCATACTCCTTTATTATTCAATTACTAGCATAAAAAATATTTAGGCAACGCTACATGAGTCATTACTCAAGTTGTCATGCTTTGATAAAAATGAGGTGACGAAAGGAATATATAATAACTAATGATTCGCCAAGTTGGCGTCAGATCAACGATGTATCTATGTGGAATGTTTCGGTTTGAGATGTGTGCCAAGCAGGTACGCAACAACGGAGCCAAATTACTGATCGTACACATTTATGCTAAAATAATTGTTTCTTCAATAACAATATATTTTATTTAGCGTCGAAGTGATCGACGCTAAATGAAATTATAAGAATTAAAGAAATCGGGATTAAGAAATTAAGAATCGAGACTCTCCAGATATTTTATTATGCGTGAAGGGGGAAATCAAATGCGCATGCATAAAGCCTAAGAGAAAAACTTTGTTGGTGATTTTGAGGTCCAGATTTTAGATCATTCCGGATAATTGACGTCCGGATTTCGGATTTTGTACAGAATAATAAATATAATGTAACAAATGTATGAATAACAAAAGGCTATGTTATAGATGTTTTAAACTGCTATCATCAATATAGTGGATATTGATGCCGGCTGATGTACTGATGGGCACAGGTTCGAATCCTGGAGTTGGTATGGATGCTTATACATGTATAGTATCTGTCAGGCATGACAGCGCTTAAAGTACTGGCAAGTCAAAAGTCCTCTCGAGTGATTTGGTGATAGAGGATGCGAGATGGGAAAGTCTTGGATCCTCCTGCAGGAAATTCTCGATGAGGTAGAGCTACACATTTATATGTAAAAGTTAACTAATAACTCAAATAATTAGCATACTTCTGGTTTTAGAGAGTTAGAAAAAAATTTAGTTTAAATTTTACTAAAAAAATTTAATTTATTTTTAGCTTGCTTTGTTTTTAACTTTTATCTTGCTTTGTTCTAATTAAACTGTGTCTCCTGGTTTCCACATTAAATTGTTTTAAATTATTTTTAAAAATTTTTTTCCCCGCATCGCATAATCTTTTTTCTATTTTTGGGTTTTATTTTATTTTGTTGAAAATTTAAAGCAGCTTTAACACTTAATTTTAAATGTTTTTTAGTACCTCTTAATTTTTTTTCCCCTTTTTCTATGCTCTCTTTTTCTCTACATGTGATGGATTAGGTAGAGAGGTACAGCTGTAATGGAACTGGAGAGGTTTATTGTGTAGATATAATGATGAAACTTGCAGTCAAAGCCGTGGATAAGACATAATTTGTTGCGGAACAATTAATTCTTGAGACACATAATCTTATTTACACATACTCATACGCAATTTGCACTCCTCAACGTTTGGAACATTACATCTTAAGACAACGGGCAATAGGCAAACAATGGGTGATAGCTGCAGCATGTTAGCAGCAGCCAAGCAAGTGAGGAAAAGGGACTACCCATTCAGAAGAATTAAGGGAGAGTCAAAAGTTTTGAGCTTTTTATTAGGAAACTTTATCTGCGATTAGATAAAACATACCTCCATTGCACGGTTCACAAGATGGCATGATACATATTAATTCTGAAACGACGAGGTTTAGATTGATATGTTACAAACAGATACTATTTTTAAGGCAGAGAGGGAAAGTATTCAAATTAAAATGAGAAATGAAGGAGCTACGGTAAAATTATAGTTGTTTGCTTTCATATTTTATATCTTGCATATATATATGTAAAATATAAAATATGAAACAAAATTATAAAACTTAATTGAATAAATTGACAACAGACCTTTACATTACTAATTTTTAATTAAAGTAGAATCCCATCAAGGCGTTTGCGTTTTCCTTGCAGTATCTGCAGTGCTGGAAACTTTTGACCAATTGCTGGTCAGGACTGAAACAAAGTTTCCCCGCGTTTTATAAATCCGACAGCAGTTAATACCTACTGCTGTTTTGAGTAAACCACGTCTTTTGCTTCGCCTCCTTTCTCTATTGTTTAAAAAATGTAAGTGCGTATTTTAAAAATTTTGAGGAGGAGATCGCGCTTATTAGGGCTCTTTGAATAGCAATACATAAAATAATCCGCTATGATAGCAAAGAAATAATAGTGCACGCAAATTAACATACTGACGGCCACCAACAGTAAATTATAACTCTCTGCAATTTCCCCCAAATGTTTTTTGTTCGCTGCACATATACTAATAAAGATTAATAAAGATTCAGCATACATTAAAATTTAGTTACAAGAGATAAAACATTTTTCTTAATTAAACTAACCAGTATTTCTGGAAAACTGAAACATCTTTTAAAAAATACGTTAAAAAATAAATTTCTGAACAACATGCTAAATAATAAAGTTATTGAATATAAAAAAAAGGAACTTAGAAAATGTTATACTTCGGTTACCTATAGAACATCTTAACTGTGAAATTTAAAAGGCAGTATATATATATATCAAGAATAATGTTTGATGTGCTAACAAAAACATCAGTCTGAGCAAGGTATTAATATTAACAAAGGTTTTGCTTTTTATAGGAAAACGTAACATTTAAAGGCTTCTACTTTCGGAACTGCGCAGAACAAACTGTCAACAATATGGCGTCCTTCGGGGTCTACTTGTCAGGCGAGACCTTTAATGCGTCTTTCTTTATTTCATTCTGAAGCAACAATGCAAATACGATGTGTTTAACTACTTATAATTCGGAACTGCTCAGCAAAACCTTGACCTAAATT